GAGTCTGTTTGTTGGCACACAGCTCTGCCTTGACACTGAGCCTTGTGGATAGACCTGGGTCACCACCTTTCCCTCACCAGGACCAAGGTCAAGAAATGATCAACATCTCTCACAGCCTTGTCACTGGGTTCTGGCAGACAAGTGATCAAGCAGATGCTGAACTTTGAGCCAAGGCAGCAAGCTCCTACTGCTTCAGCAATAAGACAAGAAATTATGGAAGCCAGTCATCTCACTGGGGTCATGGCCAATCGCTGCGGCAGGCAGGGTGAGGAGAGGACAGAGGTCCACAGACCAGAGGAAAAATGCATCAACCACACAGATGACGGCTGCAGCTGCATTACTGGGTAGGTGGCTGGTTTTGCATACAGGAATACAAAAGGAATTACACTTCCATGCTGTTCTGAGCCACAACTGACTCTGAAAATACACAGTAGCATCTTCTATAATGTACTTCACACTTCACAGATGTTAAGATCAATATCTGCAATTTGTTTTTTCCTTTAAAGATGGGTGACTTACTATGTATGTCGCCTAGGTGGCCTCACATGGCTGATCCTGCTGCCTCAACTCCCAAGTGGCTTGGACTATAGGCATGCATGAATGCAGCTGGTTAAGTGTGCTGAATAACATACTGGGTTTAATTTTCATGAGAAAGTCACCTACAAGATTATATATACCATGATCTCAACTAATAAGTATAAACATTAAAACAAAAACACTAAAGAATAAGCCAAAAATGTTGTAAGAGTTTTTGTGGAGAATGGGATTTTAATTTTCTTTATATATTTGTACATTTTCCAGATTATGTAATAAGCACTTATAGTCTTATAACCACAAAAATATCTTTAATTATACACTTAATTTTACAGTTAGAAAGAGCTTTTTGAGACCAAATAATCTATTTCCATCATTGTTTGCAAATGTAAATAAGTTGTTCTAGTCTGATAAGTATAAATAACCATGTTGAGAATTTTGGCCACTTGCTGTTGTGGTTGTCTGTGTTAATGCTTCCCACTTTGGAAAAGACCACAAGATATTCCACTGTTTTGGACCAAGTTCATGAGACAAAATGCCCTGCAGCCCACTCATGAGCCCACGGCACCTGCTCTTGTGACGAGGGAGAAGGGCACTGTTTTCCAGGCAACTCCAGGCTAGATGCTTTGCTGCTTCACAGGTCATTATTAACTTATACAAAAAATTAGAAACCAGATGTAATCACATCAAACACAATGCCACCGGTTAAGCAGTGGTCAGATGCGGTATTACTTGCCAAAACATCTAGGTGATTCATCCTGCTTTGCCTTTCTGATGACTACTTATTTAATGCCTACTGCATGCAATTATTAGGCAGACTACAGTTTATAAATCAGCATCCCTTTCTGTGTCTGGAAAGTGTCCTCTCTCATGAACTTGACCTCAGCATAACTCCTCTTTTATGAACTTGACGCCACTGTCTGGCAGAACTCCCAGCTCAGACATTAAGTCAGAAGTAGTGACAAGAAGTCATAGGGATGCAGTATGCACTTTAGCAAGAGGACAGCAGTCACATCCATAGTCAGAGGCAGTGCCAGTGCCACAGCACCACCTGTGTTCAGGGGTGACAAGACTCATTGACAGCATTTCTGATATGAAATAAAGATACTGTCTCCCACATTTTCACTCAATTTGAAAGGAAAGAAAATATTTAAAATATCATCAAATCAAAGAGAAATGCTAAGAAAACAATACACAGGCTAGTTACAATATTACCTTTTCCTTTCCAAGAAGAGTTATTATAGACAACGTTTGTACAAAAGAGACCAAAAATTTTAAAACTAATGAAATAAAAATTAAAAGATACAGTTCTGTCTTCATAATGCCTAATAAAGAATACAGAAGAGACTCTATAATAAATACTTCCTCATTGTATGAACTGATCACTAACAAAATTAAATAACCACCATGTGAAAAACAGATTTTTAAAGTCCAGCTTACAATATATCCTAACTTATTAATTTAAAATCTCTTTGCTAGTGTGCCAAGTTTTTTTGTCTTTTGACCACTGGTAGAGCAAAAACTGCAAATGGGAGAGTAATTTCAGTGTAAGGTGGCACTTCATGCTATGAATACTTAATAATGGGGAAATTTAAAGACATAGCAAAGTATTATTCTTGCCATTCAGCTCAGTTTTTCTACCTAACCTTTTGTACCACTTTGTGAGAATTGACTGTGAAACAGAAAAACAAAAACAAAGCTATCTACCAGAACATTCTCCTTGGAGTCAGGTCATGATGTGTCTCCAGGCCCAAAGGCATTTTCTGGTCTCAAGCAGCACTGTTCTGCTTTCCTCTTCCTCAAGTCAGAAGTTGACTTATTTTTGTTCCAACTCTACAGGGTATGGGGCTAACTCCAAAAATTACAAGAATCACCAGTGTGCCAGAATCAAGACATGCTCGGATTTTAACCTATAAAATAGTTTGCTAACTAACATTTAAAGTGTCTGTGCATGAAGGGTAGGGGTGAGCAGAAACCCTGGCCATCTGCTCTGTTCTCCAGCTTGAGCCAAGATGATGCCCTTCAGTCACCCTTGGCAGGCAGCTGTTATTATAATTATTATTAGTTTTAATCTTTGCAGAATGTCAGGTCTACAACCTTGAGATGCTTTTAGCCCTAACATGCACAAAATCATTTTAAATGTCTCACGGGTTTCAAATTCAGCAAGTTTTCCTTTTTAAACCCATTACTACCAAATACTAATTCTTCTAAAACTGAGTTTGTCTGATATAGTGGTTGTACTTCACACTACTCAATGACATTGAAACTCAAGGGCAAAGAAGTACAGCAACAAAATAATTAACAAAAATGTGAGCCTATGGAGCTGGGGTTGTAGCTCAGTGGTGAAGTGCTCCCCTAACATGTGTGAGGCACTGAGTTAGATTCTCAGCACCCATAAAAGTAAATAAAAACAAAAATAAAGGTCTACAACTACAACTGAAAACAAACAAAAAAAAATTGAGCCTACTTACTTCAAGGGCTCTCATCACCTCTGTTGCCCAAAAGTCTCCAATGGATTTACCAAAAACAAACCTGCCCTATCTCAGACCTAAATACAACTTCAGAGAAGTGGAAACTAGAGAGTTCAAAAACTGAAGTGAGTTCTTTACTGCCCAGAGTGATCACTGCTGTTTCTGACAATCACAGTCATTTGGGGGTTCTTGAACCAGCCTGGTCTGGACAAGCCCCTGCTAACCCCGCTCTGTCTCACCACTGGCTCTTGACATTCTCCCTTCTCAACTACCAAGATGTATTTGAAAAGTGGAGGGGAAAGCTGAGACATTAACTTCTTATGGACAGTTCTAATTAAAAAATAAATTGAAAAGCTTGAAAAGAATCCATTTCCCTTTTAAAGTGATGTTTTATGGCCTGAGCCTCCCCACCCTCCACCACCACCACAAGCTGACATTTCTCCATGTGCTTGCACACATTTTTTGTTTGACACTATTCTCATATGACTTTGTATTGTCACTAATACCTCTGTCTCCCTAGGGGACAAGAACACCCACCACACTCCTACCACACAGTAGGTACATGTTTGCTGAATTTTATTCTGGTCTCATTCCAATGGGTAATTACTATTCAATTGCATCTGCTCTCAATCCAGCCATGGGAAAAGTGATTTGACAGAAATACCTTACCGGGTTATAGATGATGTTCTGAAGATTGTTTAAGGACAACATCATTCTTTTCAAACTTATTGTTGATTAGTCTCTCCTGTGTGTAAGATTTTAACCACGTTTCACTTAAAGGTTCCCCAGAGTGAAATTGAGGTACTCGCCCTGTGTAAAATCAAAATAGAGGGAAAACAAGAATACGTCACCTTTTCTCATAACTACTTTCAGGTTTAAACTGTTATTTTAGTAATATTTACCAACAATAGGTCATCGTTACTAACCCCCCATTCTTAAAATCCTACCAACGTACAAAACTTGGGTTCCTGAGTGCAGGAAATACCTCTAAAATATTTCGGTGCAAATTTTCTAATGTGGAATTCATTATTAAAATAACTGAACTTGGGGCTGGGATCTAGCTCCGTGGAGCACCCTTAGCATGTGCAAGGCCGCGGCCATGCCCCGCACACGGCCAGAGGAGCGGACCACGGCGGCACCGCTCTCATCCTCCGGCCGGCGACCGGGACCGGAGCTCCTCCCCAAGGGGCGAGCTCTGCACCGGGCGGCACGGCAGTGTAGCCCCGGGAACCTGCCGGCGGCGGGCACAGCCCAGTTCCCCGGGGGCCAGTCACGGGACTGGCCCGGGGCTGCTCCCCGGAGCCGACACCCGCGGCCAGAGGCCCGGGGCTCGCGGCCCGTGACTCAACTGCCCGCGGGGCCGCCCCGCACTCTCCAGGACGCCGGCCGCGAGGCGACTGGGGGCACCGTGACCCCGACGACCCTCGGCCCCCGCGGGCCTGCGGCGGGGTGCTGGATCCCGGTCCGCCCCTGAAGCTGAGCGTGGGACAGCGACGTCCCAGGCCCGCCTCGGCTGGCGCGACCTTCCGGCCAGCGGGGTCCCGGCCGTGCGGCAGCCAAGGCGAGCGCAGCGACTCACCCCAGGGCTGCCAAAGCGGTAGCTCCACCCGATGTTTATCCGCCGCGGGTCGCCGTCCGGGCTTCCGAGCCGGCGTCCGAGGTGACTACGGAAGCCGGGGGAGTCAGTCCGCGTCCATTTCCGGGCGCCGCCGGTGTCCAAGTGCGGGCGTCCTCGCGGCTCTGGAGACTTCCGGCGGGCCCAGCTGCTGACCGCTGCCCGAGTAGGCTTCCTGCACAGCCTCTGGGGTCTGGGACCGCGACCGGCTTGCTGTGGGACGAGCAGAGGGGGTCAGCACAAGGGCACGTTTGCGGAATTCCCGCGCGGATCCGGCTGCCTGGCGGACGCGGAGACGGGAGGCTCCGGCGGCGCTTTCCGCCTCCAGCCAGGGTTTTCCCGGGTCCCCCTCCCGGTCCGCGATGAGTCAGAGTACAGAGAGCGCCGGACGGGGCAGCCGGCGGCGGGTTGCAGTGCAGGGCACTGTCCAAGAGCCGCCTGGACCCTTGGGACCCGCTGCTTGCGGGTCGTCGTGCTTTGTCGTCTCTTAGCCTGGCTGCTTCCTAGGGCACAGTTAAAACGGTATGGAGCGCCATTCAGAGCTTATTGGATGCGCTGTGAAGACCCAGCTTCTCAGACAAGGGCCCACGGGGACTGACAGTTTGACATCAGAAATATAATCGCACGCAGGCTACTTTGAATGGCTGGCTGGACCGCGCTTAAGGGCTTCAAGGTTATTTTCTGATATTTTTATCCACATTTGTCTCACCACTGTGGGCTTTCTTTTCCCTGGTTTTTTGCTATTTTTATTATTTATTAATACCTTTATTTTATTTATTTATTTTATGCAGTGCTGAGGATTGAACCCAGTGCCTCACACATGCTAGGTAATCGCGCTGTCACTGAGCTACAACCCCAGCCCGGCTTTTATTATTTTTAATTTAAGCTGAAGAATTCATTACAAGGCTCGTGGAAGAAAACTCACATGCTGATTCACTGTTACTTCTTTCTCCTCGTCCTCCTATCCATTGCCTAAGTTTGATTCACTCTTCAAGATCCAGCATGCACTACCTTGGATCTGTAGTTGTCTTTCTGTGTGTTGTGCGTGCTGTCTGGACAACTTGATTGTAAGTTGAGAAAAGAAACTTGTTTTACACATCCCCCGATGCCTAGTGTAATGCATTATATGAAATAGATAACTGAAAACTAGGTTGATATGTTGAATGTCTTCACAGTTTTGCCTGGGTCTGCTTGGTACTTCCTTTACAAAGTCAAAATCAGTATAAATAAATATATCTCAAGCATTTCACACTGAGGGGACAAGCTAATGCCAAGTTCATAAGGCTCTTGAGAATGACTGTTCAAGAGACAAAGACCACCAGCGTGGCCAAAGCATGGTAGATGAGGGAAATGACAGAAAGTCATGGGAATGAATGAGGTCACCAGAGAAGATACATGGAGAAAATGACCTAAGACAGAACCCTGGGGAGTCAAAAGCCAATAAAAGAAAATGCCAGTAAGTGGCTAAGAGGGGGCAGTGGTGAGTGGCATCATATAAGACAAAAAAGAGGAACAGCCAGTTATGCCAATGCCCTGAGGTCATGGTTGATAAAGTGACCAGTGGGCTTAACGACATGGAGGTCAGTCCCTGTGACTGAAGAAGAGAAATGCAAGGTGGAGAAGTGGAAGAAAGGGTGAGCAAAAATATTTCAAGAAATTTTGCTATTTCGAGAACAAAGAAACAACGTCACTGAGAAATCACTGAGGTAAAGGGTAGATTTTAGTTTTCTTGTGTTTAAAGAGAAAAAATACACAATGGTAGCTTTTTGATTTTGTTCATGAGTCACAGTAAGAACTACATAATAATTATGTTTATAATTAAAATTATAGAATAAAAAATTCCACAAAACAATGCTTTTGTTATGTGTGAAACAATCTTTTTCACTTAAGAAAAATGCTATTCATAATCCACTAAGATATTTGCAAGACCTGCTAACTGGTGTGACCTGAAGTCTGAGGAATACTTTCAGTGGTGTGTTGGACTCCATTCATTACTGGCCTGTGAGAACCAATTTTGTACATCTTTTCCATGTTGATACCTTGAAATTGGCCAGGATGGGAGTATTTATCATGGAAATAGGCAACTGCTACAAATTAGGATTTTCCCACCTTGAGGCCAGATGTTAAACATTTATCAGCACTCAATTGACTGTGCTCATGTGATGATTGAGAAGCAAGGACATATTCGTGCAGGAGAGAAGATGGGTACAAGAGTGATTCTTGAGATGATTTTACCCAAAAAAAACAGGCTTAAAAGTTGTTCTCACAAAACAGTGTAGATGTTACAAATGATTTGCCACAATTACCTTGAGATCTCCAAAGATAAAAGAATCACTTCTGGTTGAATCAACTCATTTTTCTTTTAAATATTTTTTTAGTTGTTGATGGACCTTTATTTGTATGCAGTTCTGAGAATCAAACCCAGTGTCTCACTCATATTAGGCAAGTGCTCTTCTACTGAGCTACAACCCTAGCCCCCTCATTTTTCTTTTCTTTCTTTTCTTGGTACTGGGGATTGAGTGAGGGGTGTTTTATCACTGAGCCACAAATCTGGTTCTTTATAGTTGTATTTTGATACAAGGTCTCACTATGTTGCTGAGGCTGACCTGGAGCTTGGGATCTTCCTGCCTTATCTTCCCAAGTAGCTAGGATTACAGGCTTGTATCACTAACACCTGGGTTTTCAACTGTCTTCTCCTCTTATCCAATAAGCCATGGTTATATAGCTTAAAGTAAATTTTATATTACATATTTAGAATAATGTGATATATTTTCGTACAAATAAATACAAAGTAATTATATATTGCCCACATTTTTCTAAAAACTTATAGAAATCACAATTTTAGACTTCTGAATTATAAACTCTATGCTCTTGCTACTTGGCAGCATTAAACACCTGCCACATTTCATCAATGATATCAGCCATAGTGTTTCAAGCTGAGAAACATCTGGAAGTGATTTTGCTTATTATAGTGTTGTCATGCTATTTTTGTTGTTCCTATAACTTAAAAACTTTTTTGACCTTTTATTAAATAGTGGTGCCAATGCTGGAAAAATATTCACCAAATCAATAATTTTGAAATGCAAATTAGATACAATAAAACACTGAAGAACTTTAAATAACTGCCTTGATATATCCTGGCCTAAATTTAGAAACCCAGAACCTGAGACAATATTTTTTTTTAAAGAAAGTAGTATTAAAGCAAAAATTTACCATAATAGCATAGATTCCAGAGCACTAAGAACACATACCTATTTTCCAATTATTCCCATGAGAAAAATAGTCTTGAACTAGGTAGGTTTTAAATTATGACAAGTCTTTGGAAATTCATTCTTTACTAAACCACAACACTCAAACACCTCATACTGATGGCTACTTCCCTGGGAAGTTTTATGGTTTATGCCATTTGCCTCATCTGATCATCCTCCCAGTCTCAGTGGACACTTGAACTCCTCTTGCTGGACCTAGTATCTCCCACACCCTGGAGCACTGAACTCCTTTCTCCCCTCCCAAACTCCCTGTGTTTGAATTCACCAAGCTTACCTCTTAAGTTCTATAGGATCATGTCCCAAATCTAATCTTCTCAGGTGCAAGAAACAACCTTCTAGAACTAATGATTTTGTCATAAAATAAAAGAATCTTAGTGATGGGAGAAATCTTATGGGGAGTGTAAATTGACTTGTGTCAATGATTCAAGGATGAGGTGCTCTCCTGTTTTTTCAGTACTCTTATATGGCTTGTAGACTGTTGTATGCTAATACTATCTCAGCTATTTAACAGGAGAAAGTGTATCTGAAATGACTTAGATTTCAAAGGCAAAACAATGCTAAACATGCAGTATATGTTTATAGGTAGAATGCAAAATATGTAAAATATATACAATAATGTACATACATATATGTTCTATACAGATTCAATAAATGTAAGCCCTGGAGATAACAGTAAGTTAAAAACAATTAGATCTCCTGGAGCTTAAAATCTAGTTAGGGGCAGTACAATGGTTACACATAGGTATATTTAATGAAGTGCAAAAGAAAGGTTGGGGACTGTGAGCACTCACTGTTATCTCTGTTCCCTTCCTGTGAAGTTGCTGAGGTTCACTGCAAGTGTTCCCTTGGCAGCCCAATCTCAGTTTTAACCAACCCTGCTTCACATAACTAGTCCACTTCAGGCTGTGTTTACACAGCTCTTTGTCAAAGTGATAACTGGAACCTTAATAGTAAGTTTTCTGTGAGAAGTTGAATCAAGGAAGAAATTGAGGTGGTTTTTCAAATAGAAAAAAAAAAAACTTACTGAGTCTGAGTACTTGTTTAATCACTTTAAAGCCTACCTAGAAGTACATATGTGTGGTGATCCCCATGCTCTCACTGTCCAGCTCCAGCAACTCTCAACACAGCAGTCTTGTCTCACACATACCTCACCCACTTCCTGTCCACCACTGGCTCATTTTGAAGCACACCTCACGCTTCATTTTGTCCACAAAAACTTCAGTACCATTTGTTAAAACTTGAAGGCTTATCAAGACACCAGTTTCAGTGTTTGGGCCCGAAGACTGCTTGGGTGATTTTTTTTATACTTCTTTGCAATGTGCCTGACCAGTACGTGCAAAATGTTTGATTGTTTCTCTCTCTCTCTCTCTCTTTCTCTCTCTCTCTTTAGATCAGAACTGATCAGTGGTTTTGGATATCATTAGATTGATCCAACAACTATTACAATGTTCCCATTGGTTTTTGCTCAGGTGATTTTAGTACCTAGCTATTGATGGTCATTACCTAGATCCATTATTTCACTGGGAACTGAAAGATAATAGTATCTCAATTCTAGCATTCCTCCTAAACTCATTCTTCTATAACTCTTCTGTAAGGAAATACTGCTACTTTCATCAACTCTTTGGTGATCCCAATATGAAGTTTATTCCAGAACAGCAGAGTAAGTGCTTGATTCTTTTCCTTTACTTAGGGACTGTCAGAAGGATTTGGTTCTCCCAGCCTCCACCAAAAAAGTTAATTGTGTTAGTCAGCTTTCTGTTACTGTAACAAATGCCTAAGATAGATCAACTTAAAGTTTATTTTAGCTCACAGTTTTGGAGGTTTCAGTCCTGGACTGGCCCTTCTGCTTTCAAGGCTGTGGCGAGGAACACATCATAGCAGGAGCACGTAGTGGAGAAGAACTGCCCACTTCTTGGCCCAGAATGGGAGAAGAGAGGACGGGAGGACTGGGTATGAGTCCAAGCACTTTTTGAGAGTTCATTTAAATCCCCTTCTTGCTCTAGCTTAGGGGGAGGCCCATATAAGGACGGCCTTAGGCCTTAGCCTAAGCAACTCCATTTTAAAAAACCTGCAGTCTCCCCAGGCACAAGCTTACAGAGCCCTCCAATATGCCATCAGGCATAGCCTTGTAAACAAGTCACTTTCCACAATGCTGACAAGAGTCAGAGTGAAGCCACTTAGTATAAACATGTCACTCACTTGCCTTAACCCTGATAAGAGTCAAGAGTGTAAAATCAGGGCAGAAGCCACCAAACCGTATGGCTTGGCTCTAAAATGTAAAACGTCACTAAGAAACCTGGTAACAGCTGATAGGGACCCAAAGGGCAAGCAGAAGCTCCAAAAATTAGTATAAATAATAGAGCAAAAGGACAGACATTCAGCCAGCTGACACTGATGCACACTTGCTGGAGAGCCTGATGAGGACCTGAACTAACATCCCAATTCTTCTCATCATCTTCCTGATCCTCTTCATCTTCCTCACCACTCTCAAGCTCTACAGCAGCCTCTTGACCCTGTTGAGAACAGCAACCTCTCCTTATATCTCCTTGACAGCCATCAACCCCACTCCAGAAGAAGCCTCCACCGGTTGCTGACCTGATCGCTGTGGTCTGAGTGAGTGTGCATCTGCTGGACTTAAGGCCTAAGGCTTAAGGCTTTAGATCTGGCACTTGAGCTTAGCACACAGAGGGAATGTCTGTCATGAGTCTGTCCTGATTAAGTGTGTCTGCAGTGCCTGGAGTTAACTTAGAATTGTTTGCTTTGAATTGATTATGTCTGTTTTAGTGCCCAGCATTAAGGGTTGTCACTTCTTGATTAAGAACCCATTGAGTGAATTGTATTGAGTGATTTGAATGAATAAAGCATGTAGGGCAGAAGCGTGTGAACATTCTTTATTTCTCCCCTCGACTGCATAAGTTTCACCTTTGCCCATTGTGATCGCCAGGATACTATGGTGGTAGTGAGGGCCAAGAGACTGATGGGAAAACTCAGAGATGACAGGGACTAGAATCAAGGGCATGCGTTGGATCAGGAACCACACAGAAAGCCAAAGACAAGGGGGATCCAGGAAGGAAACCTGGGGAGATTTGAATAGGAGCCAAGAGAAGATATGGAAGCTTCCATCCAGGAGTGGAAATGGTGCTAGGCCCCACGGTGATCTGTCTGTAATTCAAGCTACTTGGGAAGCTGAGGCAGGAGGATCTCAAGTTTGAGGCCAGCCTCAGCAACTTAGACCCTAAACAACTTAATGAGACTCTATCTCAAAAACTAAGAAGGGCTGAGGATATAGGTCAGTGGCTAAATATCCCTGGGTTCAATTCCTAGTACCAAGAGAGAGAACGAGAGACAGGAATGAATGTGGCAATAATGCTAAGAGCAGGTTTGGGGCAGGTTGGGAAGGGTTTGAGGTAATTACCCAGAACAGCAGCTGCTCTTCCACATTTTTTCCTGGCTGGCTGGACCCTAGAGCAAAGCCCCAAGGTCGTAGCTTGTGTATAATGCACTGGGGCAGCCAGCTAAAAGAGAGTTTGGGAGCTAACTCAAATCTGTGCTTTATGTGGCATTGAGGCTGGTACTACTTCCC